AGTCAGTTATAATGAAAAAAGTATTAGGTGTCAGGAAGAAATTGCACCAAAAAGCATTTTTTAAAGATAGCTTATTTCAGAAAGCAGCGAATGCGGCCGGCATACCTTAAAAGTAGATGAATGAACCACTCGGCAGTGGCATAGGCGGTAATTTTTTTCCCGAGCTTATTAATACTACCTCTGTAATCAACATTTCTAGAATAATATATTGCTGCAATAAAGTTGGCTTTGTAAACAAATACTTTCGTCTGAAAAATTACCGCCTTTGTAGCTTAGACCGTCTTTGTCAAAGTAGTGGTTTAGAATTGTTATCCCTTCAAGAATTGCACATTGGGTAAAAATTACAGGTCAAGTAATGAGTATAGAAAGTAAAATTTTAGAGTTAGGCATCTATTCTGCGGAATTCATTTGACCTGATGGAAATAAGCAATGACCAGCTCTAACACAAGCTTTCTAATTTGTATTTTGTTGAAACACAATGCCTAGGCGCGGTACATTAACCGGGAAGGAAGCTTGAATATGTGGGACAATTTCGGCATCCAGCTGCTCAACACGCCTACTTGTGTTGACATCAAGGAGATTGCACAACGTCTCCTAGAAGCTCGAATAAAAAAACCAAACGAGAGCGTTGCTATGTTCGCTGATGACATGGCCCGTTCTTCCCGCAAGACCGATCCTGAGATAACAGAAGACAGGAAGTTGCGGTATCTCATTCGAGAAGGGCTGGAGTGACTGCTTCTTGAGCTTGTGACAATGCACCGGCAACAATGGCTGAGTTCACCAAACAAGCCACAGTGAATGAACAAGCCCTCAGCAATGATATTACCAGCATGACAACAATGTAAAATATATCGCAAATACCTCCATTATGGCAGGTCTCTTCAGAAAGAACAAGTCTCTACGTGAGTGATCTGAGAGATTCTGCGAGAAGAACTTCAATAGCTCGGTTAATTTCCACCACCAGAACCAAAGCAGGCGTTGCCATTTACCACTGATGTCGGGGAAGAGGTTGGTCAAGCTGTTTGTTTACCGAGCTATGGCGACGTGGAACGGTACCTTACTTATGCCAATGCTGCCCGCTGTCCAGTCACCGCTCCTCTGATGACGCCATCTCTAAAGACTCACCCACCACCTACCCTTCATACTCTGCTGATATCGTCGCCACCCACACCAATCTCATAGACACAAGGAATGTCGTACGGTCAGTACCCGTATAGCGCGACGTGGTTCAATAGAGAACCGCCGCGGAACTATCAGCGTAGCAAACGTTGTTCCTGGTGCACTGCTGACCCTTCACTGGTGTGCAGTCATTGTGGCGCAGCAGGGCACGTCTACAGGGTTGGCCGCTATCGCGGCACTCACCAATAGACATTTTCTCATCAGCCTTATTACGCTATGTATGATGGTCACCGAATTTAAAATGAGACGCTACGAGCGATGCCAGACGTACATACAACGCTTCTCCGAATCACTCACCAGAATCTCCAGCCACACCCCGACAATGGTCTCCATCTTCAGCGTGGTACAGTTCACCGAATCGTCGCACGTTTTCTGACGTCACTAGAGGCTGGTTCCCTAGCCCGCGATGGTAAAACTAGACGCAGCGTCCTCTACGGTTGATGTTGCCAATCCACAAAATTACTAACAGCCCCCACTACAGATGAACAACCAACCGAAGACAACCAAGTCGCAGACAACGATTACAGCGACGACCGCGACAAACACGACACCTACCGATATGCGCAAAGTCGTGATCACTGACCTTACCTTTGAAATTTATGGCTGTCAAGCGACGGCTCTTGTTGATAACGGCTCACACTTTTCGACGATAACACTGCAGCTCACCGGAAAACGCCATGGTACGGGTGCAATGTAAGAATTGCCGGAAGTCACATGATGACACCACTTGAAGAGTGCAAGGCCCTACTCATAATCACTAGTTTCTCCTTCATCGCGAACAGCGTCATTCTTCAGCAATTTTGTAAAAAGGTGATATTGGGAATGGATTCCATGCGAAAATACTAAGTGAATAATATTAGTGGCAAGGGCGTAACGTTTGCTACAAACTTGGGCACACCTAATCATGATAAAAATTAGCAACCTCGTTTATGCATCACCGCCGGGAACGTCATACCTCTGCCACGGAGTTGTTCCCTCGTACCCGTGCCTTGCGACAGCCGACAGAGCGCAACTGCCTTTCGATAAACTTTCAGAGTTGGTCAAACACCGCTGACGCAGCTTCACATCACCGCAGATTCCATTTACACACCGCACCGGCTAAATTCTTAGCACATTTCCCGAAAGGAACGAGAGGCGTTTGAAAAAGAAGTGCAAACAATGCTGGAAGATGGTGTTATTCAGCCATTCAACAACCCTTGGGCATCTTCAGTAGTACTCGTTAAAAAATGGCAGCATATCCACGGGGAGAGTGATGGAGAGTGGGGCGAAGCATGCGTCCATAGATTAGTTCTTGGTTCCGTCCTTCCATGCGTTCATCTGTGTTACCGTCCGTGCGTCCATCCGTCCATACGAGTGTGCGCCTGTTCGTGCGTCCGCACGTACATCCGTGTGTCCGTCCCTGCGTTCGTCAATGCATCCGCCCCTTAGCCCGTCCATGCGTCCATCCGTCCGTGCAGCCATCGTGCGTCCGTCCATGCATCTGTCTGTGTGTCCGTTCATCCATCTAGCCAACACTCCAAGTACCACCATCTCGCAACTTTCATCACGTATCCACATAGAGAAGCACTGACATCCAGCGGACATTTCAAGGACTAAACGAGAGGGGCCACACGCACACTTTCTCACGGCTAGCACTTCATGTCTACTTCCCACGTTTAACCACCTAGAGTTCATGGTAAATACTAGTTCACTGTATTCATGACACTTCGGCCCAACGCACGCTAAAGCTTTCTAAAACCAAGGAGGTTACGCCCAGCGAGTATAACCTAGCAACCCTTTCTTGTCAGAAAGTGCTCGATGTGCATGCCTATGGATGGCTGTTGATTGGAAATGAGAGACAGGAGAATTCGACTTTTAGTTAACGCGCACGCTGCGAATTTTTCATTGATCAACAACACACAGGAGAAATCTCCCACTGGCACTACCCTGCAGGTCAAAGCGTAAGACTGGTTATGCACTACGACGAGGGACCAACGGGTGCTGCTTTAAGGAGCTTCGCCCCTAAAAACGAATGGTCGCTTGCGTTCTTGTGTCGACCAACGGAAGCCCAACAGAGGCACAAAGAACGCTAATTCACTGTCACGTATTGATGACACCCTGGATAGGTTACTACGCAGGTGCTATTTTTTGACAATTAACTTGAAGAGTGGTCGTAGGCAATCTGAAGTTAATAAGACAGTCTGCGAGAAAGCCGGCTTTTTCACGCCCGGCAGACTTTACGAATTTCAGATGCATGCTTCAGTTAGTGTTCTGCACCAGCTACATTTCAGCGTGTACTGGACACCATACTTTCAGAACTTATGGTAAAGACTTCTCTAGTGTAGCTTGATGACGTGATTCTCTTTTGTGTAACGTTCGGGGAGCACTCAAAAGGCTAAAAGGGCTTTTTGACTCAATACGTTTGGGCGGTATTACACTGAAGCCCTAAAAATGTCACTTTGGCTTCCACAAACTTCCATTCCTCAGTCACGTCGCCAGCAGCCAAGCGTTCTTACCTGATTCCTTGCTGCTGCCGTTGCAAATTTCCCAACCCCATCTGGCAAAAAAATCAGTTCAGCGTTATTTCGGAATGTGTGCGAACCACTGGCGTTTTAACGCCAATTTTTCAGGCATTGCAAGACCACTGACACAGATCACCTGGCAAGATTTCCCCTTCGCATGGGGCAAACACCAAAAACGGGCATTTCACGAGCTTCATCAGCGCACACAAACGCCTGCCATCCTCGCCCACTTCGGTGAAAACGTGCCAACCATATTGCACACAGACGTTGGTAAAGCGGGTCTCGGAGCAGCATTTATACAGTGGTATCACGACAGCGAAAAGGTGGTCACTTCTTCCAGAGGGACGCTGTTCCGAACTAAAGTAAATTGCATGGCGACCGATAAAGAAGCTATCAAAATGATATGGGCATTCATCAAGCTGCGCCCGTATGTGAATGTTCCTTCGCAGTAATCAACGATCGTCATTTATTCTCATGAATGAATAATTTGAAGGATATTCTGCTCCAAGAGTTGAACTTCACCATTACCTACGACTGGGTAGACCACACGCTGATGCCGACTATCTTTCTCAGTTTTCCATTGAAGCAGCAGACCATGACGGCAACACGACGTTTTTTTTGGCGTTATTGATACTGCCGCTTTTTCATGCTAGTAGCGAAACAGTGCTGAAATATTACTGCTTATTCATTACTTCGATGGCCAAATGGATAGCGTGGTGAATTTATTTCCAAACGTGCTACCGTCATAGTACGTGTAATGATGTTAGTGTACAAGAACATCTCGCCTAGTGGAAGCAGCAACGTATTAGCCGTTACCTCACCGCTTCGAGCGGAAATCATGTACGCCTGTCACAACTAGCCAACCACCGGTGACCTAAGCTAAACGAGGACAATGTCAAGTACTGGACAGCAAACTACTGGCCTAAACTTGAAATTGTAGTTAAAACTTACGTGCAGCATGTTTTTGCTGTCAGTACCTCAAACGACCACAGGTAAAGCCAGCTGGTCTGTTGCAGCCTGTTTAAGTACCAACGACACCATGTGCACAAATATGCATGAATTTTAAAGGCCATTTTATAATGTCTACTACAGGAAACGTTGATAAGCGAGGCAACCAATCACTTCACACGATACGCTGAGACAAGAGCTCTGCAATCAGCAGAAGCGGCTGAAATAGCGTGTTTCTTTTTTGAGGACATCGTTTTAGGTCACGGTGCACCTGCATTAATTATCACTGACAGAGGTACTGCGTTCATGGCCGTGCTCTTGTATCATGTTTTTTGTCTATTTGGTAACGTTCACAGGAGGAGAACAGCTTACCATTCCGAGACCAATGGGCTGACAGAACGTCTCAACAGGACCTTGGATAAGATGATCACTGATCAGCCTGTTCGTAGACGTAGTGAACAAGAACTGAGACGACATCCTACTCTACGTCACATTCGCGTACAACCTGGCTCGCCAGGACACTGCTCAGCGATGCCGATCAGCCTCATTTACGGCCGTGGCGTCGCAACAATGTTCGATGTCACGATCCCTATGACAACGATGCCCATGAAACGGAAGCCTGACTTTTAAAGACGAAGCATTTCTTTGTGTACTGTAGGCACTCTGAGTATCTATCTATCTATCTATCTATCTATCTATCTATCTATCTATCTATCTATCTATCTATCTATCTATCTATCTATCTATCTATCTATCTATCTATCTATCTATCTATCTATCTATCTATCTATCTATCTATCTATCTATCTATCTATCTATCTATCTATCTATCTATCTATCTATCTATCTTTCTGGCCGCTTACATGACCGTCCTTTTAAGACCATCCCCTTGGGCTAAACGAAAACTAGTATGGGAGGCAAATTAGTTTGAGGAAAACGATTCATGACATAACTAATATCCATATTTCGTCACGTGCGCCATTAAACACTTTGAAAAAGAACTGTGGCACATACCCTTGAGCGGGTATGTGCCACTGGTATGCAGGTATATGCCACAGATGTTTTATAGTTTATATCTATCTAGAAACGGTGAAAAGACACACGTGAAGTGCTAGGTTTGATGTTAAAAAAAACGGACATGGCAGCGTTAGCCGGACGAATGCAAAGAGTAAATGACATTCTCAGCTAAGACTGATCCCTAGAATTCTGCGTGGCAATCAAATGTACTACTACAAAGCCACGCCATGTACATTTCCGATTCTAATTTCCCATGTCTCGGAACTATCTTTCAGACCATAATGATCGCAACATGCCAATTTTTCCTTTAATATTTTTTGAACTTTGCACATGTACTCCTACGATACAGCAGTCAAGTCGGGTAACATCAGTTGTAGTGAGGGGCTACCAACTTAAGAATGTTTATGGAGCAGTGTCCAGGGCTTCGATGCTCGCGAAAAGCAGGGTTTTTTATCAGCTTACTACTTTTAATGTTGCGTCTATCCACGTTGCTGTACGCAACTGTGAACATCACTGTAATATCATTGAACGCAGCTGTAAACAACTAGGGATATAAAGTATATGTGGCTAATTACCTTGTCTGCGTGCGCATTCATACAGATATTCAGTGCAACTTTGTAATGTTTTGCTCAATAAAAAAAGTACGACACAGCCAGCATGCGTGCGTATGCTTCGCATAGCATCGACTCCCAAGGTACGTGGGATATCCCAAATTTTTTTTTACGAAGCGACTAGAACAAGCTCGGGAACATGCGCAGTTGAGGTCATCGAAGAACAGAAGTGTAACACCCGGCACTATAATCTCTAGCACACACCTGTCACACACAACTTGGGGGACAAAGTGTGGGTCTGGAACCCCATTCGTCGTGAGCCCTCTGAAAAAATGTTGTGGAGATACTTCATACCTTACAAGGACGAGGTTCTTCAGTGCATCAGTGACATTAATTACGCTGCTGTTATAGCTGACCACCATTGTTCAACGTACTGTAAACATTTGCTTCGAATTATTCACGTGCTTCAGATGAAGTGATACCTTCAGGTATTATACTTTTTTCCTGCTTTATGAACCTGCACCTTCGGGACGAGTTTTTTTTTGGAGAGGGAATATTACCACGCGTATGTGCCAGTGGCGAGGACAAACAAGCAGCGTGAGAAAGCTTGGGCAAAAAAAGGACGAAGAAGATATTGCTGCCCTTTTCGAAGATTCTGATAAAGTCTATTTGTTTGTTGTATTCTGTTTATTCCTCACTACCTCGTCGTAGCTATATGCACGTCATCGCACAGCAACGTGCACTCATTTTGCATAAAAGTGACATATGTATTCTAACATGACCACCGACGTTAAGTCGTACCATGGGATAGCTTGGGGCATTCCTTAAGTCGTTGTGCGTAGTGAGCTCCCGGTCAATACGGTAGTCAAGTGAGCAAGGCTGCTTCCTGAATAGTCCCATTAGCCAAATATTTAGGGCCTTCAGCGAGTGGTTAAAAAAATTCTTTGTTAAGGGCCTGCCCACGTCATACGCAAAACTACTTCAAATCTACAAAGTTGGTGCGACCCAGAGCGTTAGACTCAAAGCAATAAAAACGTTATATATCTAACTACTTGCTTATTGCTTCTTATGATGGCGACTACTAGAATGACTAGGATCAGCCGAATTAAATTTTTCGTGCTGAAGTTGCCCTGAAGTTATGAATTATTAACTTTTCCAAAATGCAATTGTAGTTGCTGACTGTTACGACATGATATTTAAAGAAGCTAATAGCTAAGACTGTTGCAAATACCTCCCTTAGGCATACGGTCCGATTAAACGCGCAAAACTCCAAGGAGCGTTTATGTCTATCAATTCTGAGTGCGTTGCACACGTGAATAGTAACTACTTGCCTAAAAATTCTGCTCAGCGCCCTTTTCACATATACACGCATACCTTACTGTTCTTATTACTAATAACCTCTACAAAATATAGCGTATTACCTCGATAAAGTGCGCAGTCGCCTCGCCAAAATTAATGCAACGTCTTCCTGATCCAACGCAGCTCTTTCCAGGAATCACGCCAGTATCGTAACAAGGGCTTGACAGTGTTGTTCGCTCTAACTTGTATGCGGGCTTACCCTATGTAACAATGCACTCTGGGCAGTGCGCGTACAAGTAGGTTGTGAATAAGGGCCTCTGGGAGTTGTGTATTTTATTCCCCCGCAGCACCGTCCCCCTATGTCAATCGAACGTCAAGTTATCCCGTGTGACACACACCAGGGTGAACGATACTATCTAGTGCCGTCTAATAGGTTAAAACAGCAGTGAGAAAGGTCCTGTTGAGTACAATGACTCCGTAGTGCGAGGGAAAATAGCAAGTGCGTTACGGCTTGAATTTGCCTGTTGTGGATATTTTTGCAATGCACAATGAATGACTGGACGAAACTCGATGGCTGGAAGTTAACGGTAGACAGGCACTGTTCGTACACCGCAAACCATGAGCAGGATTCGCGAGTATTCTGCACTTCCCGGCATCTCCCGCCAGCCACGGTGGTGGCCGGCCGTAAGTGAAAAGGAAATAGGCGAAAAAAGTCATATGTTGTGCAAAAGAGCTAGTTATCCAAAACCACTTTCGGCTCTATACAGCAGAGACCTATTTTAATGACATGGTGACGTTACAGTGTCACACTACAAACGGTTTGGCGTGACACATTGTTTAACATTTACCAATGGGGTCCCATGTATTTCTAAGGGTCGTGTTTAATTGTTTTTGCAAGTCAGACGTCTCGCAGTGTGAGACTGAAATTTCACCGGAATGTATAAGTGCGTAACTGCTACATATAAGCCTGAGTCATTTTTGATAACTAGCTTTTTCAAGAGATATGATTTTCCCCCTATTTTACATTCAGTAATTGTAGGCTGCTTTTCCCCTCGCCTAGAGATGGCGCCACATGCAGATTTCCCTACTTCCACGACAACTTTCGCTCCCGGGGCCAAAGCTCAGTAAAGAATCTCAGGTAGCGTAGCGTCGCCTGCAGACCTTGTCTTACTTCAATCCATACATACTGTCCTAGATAGATCCCGACAATTACGCACCACAGTGCAGGTTCTGCGTCACTAAAACAGCCACCCTGTACCACAAGGTATGAGAATGCCCACACAATCCACCTCTCCGACCCACAGCACAGTACAACACTGTAGGGTGGGAGGCAGCTCTGTCCAGCTCAGATCCGAAGACCCAAGAGGCCCTCGTGAGACAAGCAAGGACAGCGGCCCGTGCAAATGGGATCCCGGACAAAGGGTCCCACTCACTGACATTCCTTCTTCAGTCCCAAATAAATGCTTTATTCTCTCTCTCTCCTGGGAATGACTCTCTAGCTTAACAATTCTCACCGTTAAGAATAACATATTAATAAAAATAGGACAAAAGGAAGTGCGTTTTTCGCTGCAAATGGAGAAAGTCGTGGACTCATTAGCTATGACATAATATTTTATTAAAGAGAAAGCGAAAACAAAGAAATCACAAGTGACAACCACTGCTTTTCCAATATTTCATTTTCTCATGAAAATAGCATTTCCACTGAGTGTCACGCATAAGAAAACCCATGTATTCAGATAACTTGCAGATACAATTTCTTAAAACACTGCATGTAACAGAGAGCTTAGACGCCGAACGTACGGAGACAAAAAAGTGTAGTTTGGCTCACGTGCACTCCTAATAGGATTGCTGAAATAAGAACTGAAAATCTAGATGATGAAATAACTCAATTTACGTAAATGGTGTAATGCTAAAACTGTGCAGGCCCTGCAAGATGGTGTCAAAATTGCTGAAGCTAGTAACTCCAGAACGCAGGTGAGTGAGTGAGTGAGAAAGGAAAGGCCGGGAGGTTAACCAGATATTGGCATCTGGTTTGCTACCCAGCGCTGGGGGGGGGGAAGTAGGGGCAAGACAGAGGGGTTAGAGAGAGGGGAAAAAACGCACGCGCACTCATAAAAAAACGAAAACACACACTGGAAGGGCGTCCCAGCTACAACCGTTCAGCAAGGCCGGTCAATCGCAAAATGTTCAGCAGCGCTTTCAGGGCCCTCTTCTGTGAAGTCGCATCCTGACGATTCTGCAGAATTTCCTGCTCCGACAGAGGCTGATCATCTAATTTGTTGAGTTCCCTGCGAAGGCATAGTCGCCACCTACTATACGCTAGGCACTCACAAAGAACATGTTGAATGGTTTCCTCCTTGCCACAGTGGCCACAGGCTGCGGTGTCGGCCATCCCAATGCGGAAAGCGTAGGCGTTGGTAAATGGAACGCCCAACCACAGCCTACATAACAGGGTCTGGTCTGCTCGGCGAAGCCTCGACGGGACTTGAAGACTTAGCGTAGGGTCAAGCGAGTACAGTCGGGCATGCTTGAAGTGCGGCTGATTCCATTGCGATGTGGTTTGCCGGCGAGCAAGTCTGTGGAGCTCTCGTGCAGCATCCGTCCTAGAAAGTGGTAGTCGCAGTTTATGATTTTCTGTGTGGGCTGAGGGGGCAGCTTGATCGGCCCGTTCATTGCCGATGATTCCGCAGTGACTGGGCAACCACTGAAATGTAATTTGGTGCCCTTTCTCAGTCAGGTGGTGTATAATCTCTGCTATCTCTAGTACCAGCTGCTCGTGTGGTCCACGGCGTAAGGCTGACAGTAGAGACTGCAGTGCCGCCTTCGAGTCGCAGAAAATATTCCACTTGCGCGTAGGCTGATCAACTACAAAGTGCGACGCGGCACGAAGTGCTGCCAATTCTGCTGCCGTTGATGTTGTTGCGTGAGATGTCTTGAACTTAATTGTCGTGGCCAACCTTGGTATCACTACTGCTCCTGTAGAGCTGTCCGGCTGAACCGATCCGTCAGTGTAGATATGTGTGGAGTCTTGATATTTCTCATACAAGAGAAGTAGTGTGAGCTGTTTAAGAGCCGATGACGACAAATTGGCCTTTTTCTCGACGCCAGGTACGATAATATTAACTATTGGTTGAGCGAGGCACCATGGTGGAGTCACAGGTCTAGCAGCAGGAGAGAACGAAGTTGGGATCGACTCACCATGTGCGGTCACTGTTTTTCAGTAAGATGTGCATGGTCGGACCACTGGTAAAGAGGCTAGGTGATGTCGAGGGGCTCGAGCAAGGTGTCGTATATGTGTCCTCAGCACTTCCACATCAATGTGGGTCTTGATGAGGTTGTCCCTTGTGATGGCGATAGTCGCCGCTGTTGATGCACTTTGGGGCAAGCCTAAACATATCCGGAGTGCTTGAGCCTGGACACTTTGAAGCATTCGTATGCTTGTTTTACTTGCGTTGGTTAACACAGGTAGGCTGTACCGAAGGAATCCAAGGAAAAGAAACCTGTATAGTCGCAACATAGCAGTTGTGGACATTCCCCAGTTCTTTCCAGCGAAGAACTTGAACAAATGACAGATGCCTGTCAATCGCCTTTTCATGTATGATACATGTGAGCTCCATGAGAGGTCTCTGTCAATTATAACACCTAGGAACTTGTATGATCTGAGGTGACGTATTCTTTCGTTGTTTATCAGAACGCTGTAGTTTGCATTGGTTTGCGCGTAAATGCCACTAGTGCACATTTCTCAGAGGAAATTTCCAGACCTCGTTGACGGAGGTAAATAGAAACTTGAGTGGCAGCTCTCTGAATTCGCGCTCGCAGCTGTAGACGTGTTACTGCAGACGTCCAAACGCAGATGTCGTCCGCGTACATTGACAATCTGACAGTACTTGGCAGATGCTCATTTAGAGCTATTAGCGTCAGGTTGAATAGTAAAGGGCTAAGTATGCCACCCTGGGGAACACCACGGTGGCTGTAGTGTAGCGAAGTGTCACCATCCTCGGTTCTCACGAAAAAGGATCGCTCAGAGAGATAGCTGTGTATCCACTGAAACATCCGACCACCCACTCCTACCTCCTTGAGAGCGGTGAGGACAGCTTCATGTGTGACGTTATTGTACGCTCCTTCAACATCAAGAAATAAAGAAGCGCAGAGACGCTTACGGCCTTTTTCGTGCTGCACGTAGGTGACCAGGTCTACGACGCCATCAATTGATGACCGGCCACGGCGAAATCCCGTCATAGCGTCCGAATAGATGTTGTGATGCTCCAGGAACCATTCTAGCCGTCCAAGTACCATCCTCTCTATCACTTTGCCCAAGCAACTAGCCAGTGCAATCGGGCGGTATGATGTGAGCACCAATGGTGACTTGCCAGGCTTCAGTAATGGAACCAAACGGCTGGTCTTCCAGTTAACTGGGAGGGTGCCCTCTCGCCACGAGTCGTTGTATATCTCGAGGAGGGCACTCCTCGCACACTCACCAAGGTGACACAGTGCTCTGTATGATATTCCATCAGGCCCGGGTGCTGATGTCCGTCTACACAAAGCCAGTGCTGCTTGAAGCTCATGAATAGAAAAAAATTGGTCCATGGGGTGATCGTGTGATGTCGTGCCACCGCGTGAGAGCGTGGAGATGTTGGGATCTGCGAGTTGACCAGATAAGTTGGCACAGAACTCTTCTGCCACGCTGAATCAACTGAACAGCTGAATCAACATGACGGGCCTTATGAAGAAGAGTCGTGTGAATTGGTCCAGAAGATTTCTGCCGTGAAACAACTTGGCTTTCCCGTGACAATGTAGGCGTTTTATGAGAAATGAAAGATGTGGGCTTATTGTAAAACAAAACTTTGGTAATTGGTGCTCTGAGAGAAGCGAAACACATTGCAGGCTAAGGCTAAGCTGGCAAGTCGATATACAATGACCACTGGTTTCCACGAAACTTGCTTTACATCAGTTAATTTTCATTCTCGAAGTAAACGCACGTGATTGATACATATAGTGCTTATCAATTCTTTCCTGACCTCTAAATAAATAAACTTCTCCTTTGTTTTAACAGGCCCAATGCGGAAGTTGAAGGAAATTACGAGAAGCCCGCATAACAATGTTGCGCAAAAGAATCATGGTCGCAAACTAACAGATGTTAGGGGTGTTTCAACGCCAAAGTGTTAAAGAGCTCCTTTCTCTTAGCGGTGTCGGCATGGGCATTATTAGTTGGGAGCGAAAAATCATTATCGTGCTTGACGGAAAACTAAAAACAAAGTGTAATAGAATAAATACTAAATTTACAGGTTCGAGCAAGGATTGAACCCAGGCCATTTGCGTGTCGCATGATTCAGGCAACCGAAAAAAGTTTAGGCGCATCCTCAGCGCCGAGACCTTGTAGCGCATCATCATCATTCTCTTGACCACTGCGCCGCACCTCTCGCGCAGCTGATGCCTGGCCTTGGTGCTTAGATCAAGCTGCGTGGAGACAGAAAGGATTGACGCGCTTGGTGTGTCGGACACTGGAAGCCACCGCGGCTTCCTTCAGGCCTGAAATGAAATAGTGAGATAGAAATGACCACGTCAGCCGCTCACGTCTCTCCTCTCTCGACCGCTGCAGTGGTGACCCGGAGAACGCGCCCTTCGACGAGCTATCAGCTGCCATGGTTCCGCGACTCAGCCCACTAGT